ACCGATGCCTTGGTGTATATATAAAATCCGCTTGCTGTCAATGAAACCAAGAAAATGATGAAGACAAATAACATTTCAAATGAAAATCATCATTAGGTACAGATCATTTTTATCAAGATATTTCTGTCACTCAAACAGCGAACGTCAGTTTTGCAATCCCTAATTTCTGCAGTAATAAACAGAATACGAATTATAATACAGTTGACTTTGATAAAAGTTTTCTCATTTTTAATATCTGTTACTTTTAGACTAAATTTGGAGCATTACCCGAACTACCCTCCCCACCTCCATAAGTGTACTCTTCTTTTACTTACGATCTCCTGTGGTACGGTCTGCTTGGGGCCCATTGTCAGGGCCTGATATTGGACCGCTATGGAGATGCCAGTCAAAGTCATTGTTTGGGTTGTTTTCGTACGCACAGAAAGTGTTGAAATCAAAATCACAGTTCAGATCTGAGAAGGTGGCATACGAGCCTGAGGACAAACAAAGATTTCAATAATAAAGGGACCATGAAATGCAGTTTCAGCACATTTTCCCAATTAAAACCCTTCTAGTTCTACCTTTCAGGTGACCTGATTTTTTGTAACATAAATATGTTTGTTTTGCTATTTCAACCCGTTTGGTGAGCGTTTTTGTTTCTATTCAAATGCACATTTCCATATTTCTGAGCTTAATTATATCATCCACGGCACAAAAACCATTGCATTGATATGTGCGCAACAAATGCTAGTTTTTGTAAACACACTCTATCGCAGATGTTATTTCCTTTGGCAATAAGTCGGAGATCAGCCTTTCGTCAGTAGCGTTTTCAAAACGCACATTTGGAGTTCACAATGACAACATGCAAATTGAACAGCGCCGTTCTGGTTTTACATCAATGCAGAAGCGCCCCTTGTCCAAAAATGCTTGGTCAATTTTTAATATGTAGGAAATTCACTTTTTAGTTCATGGAACTCTAAAAGGATGTCATACAGTCTTCATGCAATGGAGAAGGGTACAGACATGCACAAAAAGTAATTCTAAGAAAAGTTCATTGCATGAATCCTATAGTCTACAGGCAAAAGCTTATTAAGCTTTAATAGTTTACTTATAACTTTAACCTCTGTTTTATACCTAGATATCATTTAAAACTTTTTTAAAGTCTGTGAGAATGGTTTACTTATGTTAATAGAAAAACTGTAATTTATAGTACTTCTTGTATCAAAAATGATAGTCTTTTGAAATGACAAAGATGCACAGCATATGGGTTGCACGCGGTTCATCTTAAATTCTTCATAATCAGTTTTGGGGTAGAGGACAAGGCCGAGTTTGAGTCCTAGCTCTCCCCGCCTAGTCCAGATCTCGTCACTACCATTAAAGGCCAAGGCCACAGTGTCCCAGGCCAAGGCCGGTACATACATATTTTACATAACTTTACATGATAGCAAGTGATTTGGCAACGTTGGCTGCTCACAGAATTCATCTAGATTCACAAAGTATCTGCCGTAACAACATAACCCTACGTATTATGCGTGAGAAAAATAACCAATTGTATGTTTCACTAATTAATTGCTTTTATTTTGCAACATTTTTACAACCTGATACCCAATTCGAGTCGACATGACTATCTTTTGTTTGGCAGGTGTTCAAAAGCTCAATTTTAATAGAAACAAGGTACAGGTAAGAGGATGACTCCCCAGCCCACATAACTACCACCGCAAAATGAGAAAAATTATTAAAGCTAAGGTTTGAAATGTTATTATTAGTGACGGCTTCTTTTTAACGCGAGAAATGTATCTTAACCAAACAGCAAACGATACACACCGCATTGCCCTTCCAAAACGATGATGTCATCCACAGCAATTTCACTTCCCGCGTTTCTTCCACATTCTCCTACAAAAGAAATCTGTGGAGAGAATATGAACACAGATCTATCTAGGAAGGACTAAATAATGCTCGAAAGAAAAAGTAAGAGGAAAACACGCCTTTTATTTTCCTAAATATAATTCGTGACAGTTTATCACTGAACCTCAAGATACAAACTTATGAATGTGAAAAACGATGACCTTATAACACACAACCATTTTACATGACCCTGAATTTAACGTAATTTTCAAGCAGAAATCTACTCATATGCTGCACGACTTCTTGCCTGAAAATCGAGTCCATAACCGATATTAATGGATGCCTCCTGCCAGACGTCACCAGAATCACCGCTCTTTAACCAACGAGAAGGGCCAAGACCCCCTTTGCCGTCTCCTGTGTACACCATCAATGTCCCCATGCCTGTCCCGTACATGTGATACCAAAATTTAACACAGGCGCCAGTAGCAGGTGCAGTTGACTTGACGCCATCCAGTCGAGCTTGATCACCTGGATTTTGTAACATTGTCTTGATGTATATGTAAAACCCGCTCGCTGTCAATAAAACCAAGAAAATGATAACGAAAAATAGCATTTCAAGTGAAAATCATCATTAGGTACAGATCATCTTCGTCGAGATATTTCTGTCGCTCAAAGAGCGAACGTCTGTTTTGCGACCTGTAATTTCTGAAATAATACAAACGTCATTGATCTGAATAATTTTTGCATTCGTGTCTTTGTTGGATGTATCATTGACAACAATCAAAGATACCGAAATAGTGGCTTGGAAACGTACAAATTCAATAGGCTGAACTAGTATCCAAAAATCAATTATAAAGCAGATGATGACGTCATCCATTTGGAAAATTTTGTGTATCAGGTCTTTGTTGGCTATCACTTCGATAACGATCAAGCACAGTTACCAAAACGGACTAAAACAAATCCACAAAAACTGCTCCTTTATTTTCTTGTGACGTGATTTGCGCTTAAATTAGAAACTTTTTATGAAATATTACTTGATATTTA